AGTGGCAGTAAAGGCAGTAGCGGTAGTAGGTAGTCGTAGCAGTGGTAGTAATAGTAGTAGTAGTAGTAGTAGTAGTAGTAGTAGTAGTAGTAGTGGTAGTGGTAGTAGTAGTGGTAGTAGTAATAGTAGCAGTAGCAGTAGCAGTAGTAGTAGTAGTAGAAGTAGTAGTAGTAGTAGTAGTTGTTGTTGTATTAGTTGTAGTAGTCGTCGTCGTGGTGGTGGTGGTGGTGGTAGCAGTCGTCGTACTAGGAGTAGAAGTAAAAGCAATAGTAGCAGAATGTAGAAAGGTTGCGGGGCATGAAAAACGTGCCGGCCTTGGGCCATCATCGTGGAATTGGGGATAGGCCACAGACTGCCTGCTGTACTAATCGCAGTCGACTTGTGCTATCCTGAAAGAATCTCGCGAGGTTTGCTGAGGGGCGTTCACAGTGTTGGTGACATCACCATCACCACGATCGCTGGACTCAAGAATGTCCAGAGGGGTCTCTGCTTGGATTTTGACAAAGTGCAGCAGCAGGCCCAGTGATGCAAGCATTTTCATTCGCTTCAAGGGCCTTGTTGATTGACAGATCGCGTCAGAGTTTTGCGTTCATTTTGCGACAGGCCTTTGACAGCGAAGGTGAATGCTGGAAGGAATTCTGGCTGCCCCGTGAATCTCCGTCAAATCCACCTGACGCCAAGTTCGACGCATCCCAGCTTGTTTTGCAGGCTTTGAATTGTTGACGCGAGGTAAGGCCCCGAGCATTGTGTGACTTTCGGAAGTAGTCGTATCACCAATCTTGACGCTGACTTCTGTGCTTTCACGGCTGTTCAGATTGATCTTACCTTTACAGTAGTTGCTATGCCGTTGGTATTGTACATACAGATAGCATCAGGTATTCAGATGGACGGAGACATAGTCTCCGGAACCCGTGCTTTTTGATGGAGGGAATGCAGTTCAGGATACTTCCTGGGTAGTCTCTAGCATTTCCTGAAGCATTTCAGGATGCTGTGACCTGTCTTTGCCATAGTCTTCACGGTCACCGCTGAGTGTCACGAGGTTCTGCTATCTTTTCTGCAAACTATGCATCTTCTTCGATTGGAGGAATTTCACCTTGTACTTAGAGTTGAAATCGTCAGTCAGCTTTGGCATCGTAAGATCATGAACTGTAGCCAGTAGTGCTGCAGCTTGGCGCGATTCTGTTGCTGCCTGTCACCTTCCCGGCCGACTTCACAAGCCCGGATGCAAAAGAAATGAGGACAGAGACATAGTCTCCGAAACCCATGCTTTTTCATGTGCGTTCACCCACAGGGATTAGGTAAGTACTGTACATGGTCAGCCCCAGTTTGTGTTGTTTTACGGTGCGTTCGGCAGAAGGGTGTGTGTGTGTGTGTAGTGGGGGCGGGGCTGGGAACGCCAGACCTGACCATACATAATCTCGTTGGCCGAAACATGCCAGGCAAAAACGGTTTCCAGAAAGGTCGCTTTTTGTCTGTGCATTCACGCCGCTTCTAGCACATGCTGGGTGCGCGTTCGTGCGACATGCCTTATAGCCGACGTGCCCTATAGCCCAAAAGCGAATGCACAGCAAAAAACACCCAGCGGAATGTACCGGGAATAAACCTGTCGTCAGACTCCACTACCACCTTTTTTAGTCCCAGCCTAGGGGGTTTGCTCCAACACCGGCTCGGACGGCTCGGAACGCTGGGAGAAGGCCCATTTGCCACTGGCTGCAGCCTACCGGGAGGACTGCATTTACACACAGTGCAGGTTTGTGTGCACTCTATGCAATGCTCGCAATGCCTGAACTGATGAACAAGTTTGTATGTGTGTGTTATATATATATAGAGAGAGAGAGAGAATACATGGTGCACATCTCGCTCTCTCTGTATGTGCGCTTGTGTTCTTGTATTTATATAGTATAAATCAGTGCTTACATATATGCAGACTGTAGCCTGTTGTCTCTTTACTTTGCCTGTTGGTCGATATACAGAAAGTTGCAGCTGTTTACCGCCGCGCTCCTAGGCCATCTGCTAGGAGGCCATCTGCAATTCAGGCAGCAATGTTTGCGCGCGTACGGGCACCACCGAAGATGCTCCGGTAGACTTATGTCCCATTTGCCACCTCTGTCTCCTGCCTATTAGCCGCAGTGTTGAGGCATTGAGGTCCCTCGCTGAGACCATACTATATTTACATATATATATATATATATTTTTTTTTTTATTTTTTTTATGTGTGTGTGTATGTATGTACGTACACCAACAACAACCCTGAAACTACTGCTATCGAACAACTAAATGAGATCATCAAGACCAGTTCCGAAGCTTTGCCTAGGAAGCAGCCCGAACAGAAAGGACCCTACACATCCGAACAGACACGGACATTGCTTGAGCGTAACTGAAAGGCAATTGAGAATGGAGATGACGACACAGCAAGCCATCTTAGTCAAGAAATCAAGGAAAGAGCTAAAGAAATTGCAAACCAAGGTTACAAATGCGATGGACTCAAAAAGATGAGGGCTAAATTTACACCAAATTTTACCAAATTTAAAGACTTTACCTCCCATACAAACAATAAGCACATGAAGCTGCCGAGTATTTGGACAAGGCCCAGTGGAAGGCACAGGATAGTCAACATCAGAGGTCGGATCGTGATAACTCCCCTTTACAGGATGGGAGGTACATGATTGACGATTCGGATTTCACACTGGTGGAGTTGGACATAGTTGGGCTATTTACTTTGCAGAGTTAATAAGAACAAAATGGCAGGCAACGGGGATATCCCCGGAGAATTATACAAATGGCTGGATGACGAGAACAAAGCGCACCTGCTTCACCCAGCAAATGTATCAATCTACAAGAAGGGCGATGCAACAAAGGTTGAAACAAGAAAAGACAAATATCAGTATTGACGGTGTGCTATAAAATTATAGCAGCCTTGTTAAAGGAGCGCCTTGATAAATGCCTAGACAAGTGGCTCGTGGCAACTCGATATGGGTGCAGACAAGGCACCAGCACAAGTCAAGCAGTTTTCTTGTAGCAAGAAGATTACAAGACATTTCAGAAAAGTCTAAAAGCCACAGTACCTTGATACTTCTGGATTGGGAAAAAGGGTTCGATAAAGTTGCGCGTGACAAAATGCTGGAAAAACTGAGACGGTTAACAGTCCCCCTAGAATCTATATCTTAATAAAGAGCGTGTTTTCTGGTCCTCAGTTGAAAGTGAAATGCCGGGAAGTGGAATCGGATCGGCATACTCAATATACAGGGATCCGTCAAGGTTGTCATCTATATCCATGTCTATTTACCTTGTTGATTGGAGCACTCTCTGCAGACATAAAAACCGAGTTATGCACAATGAGACAAATGGAACCCATTGACGGAATATATATATATATATCTCTCTCTCTCTCTCTCTCGGAGATCCTATACGCGGATGACGCCTTGACTTTTGGGGCCAACACTCAATGATGCACGCCGTAGAAAGGCATTCAGAAGATTTCGGACTCAAACTTAACTACGACAAATGCTTTAACCACACTGCTAATCAACGTGTTACGTCAGTTCCGTTTGCTCCCGAAGGTCCAGCTGCAGGGAGACTGGTTCCGCGACAAGAATCAGCTACCTATCTAGGGACTCTTCTGGCATAATTACACATTCGATAACAAAGCCGAAGTTGCAATTAAACCTTGCGATTGCATCGGAACATGCAAGCACGTGGGGCTGTTTCGGAACAGCAAACACTTCCATAAAATGGACGAAGTATTCAACTCAATAGTTCGCAGCAACCTTCTGTATAGTTTGGAATGTATACAATTGACAACACCAGAAATATCCAAACTTAATGGTTTCCAAAATAAAATGCTTCGCCAGATTCTTGGCAAGCCATCAACGTTCGTAGACGGAGAAGAGACTAATGCCAGAATGTACGAAGAAATCCAACGTAATCATCATGGCAAGTTCGAGCACTTCGGAGACACACGGCAAAGAATCTAGTGCCCCGGCCTGCAATCAAAGGAAGAGTTGGCAGACCCCGAAGCGATTGGCTTAC